GCTCTTCACATAGTAACTGAATTTCCTCCATCTTTCAGTTTGACAGAACACAAGGATAGAAAATCTGTTCAAGAAAATGCTAATGACAGTCAAAAGAATCTAAATTCCCTGATAAGTTAAAGCCATCATTAATATTTAAAAACAAACTGGTCAAATACTGCAGTAATTCCAAATATGACAATACTTAGGAAAACAGAATTGCAGGTTCCTAGCATTGCATTTTGCACCAAGTTTCAGACCAAAGCAAACCTGAGAATTTTATTTGCGTGAAGCTGATTGCTAAAAGGAGAAAGAATTCACAAAAGAAAAAAGCAGGTCCTAATTCTGTTGTGGCTGTCTGTACAAGTATAAGACTACATTATCTTGGTAGTCCCTTCCTGTTGCATGATTTCATGAAAAAGATATAGCTTGTCTAGACACATGAAATTCAAGTGTCTAATATACTTGTAATAGCTTAGTCAACACAAGAACTCATGAAATCACACTGCAAGAGAGTACTGTATTTTGTTGTAGTTACCTACAACCATTAAAATCTTTAGGGGTCTGCTAGCATTAATTTAAGTTCAATGAAATTGTGGCTAACTTGGCATACAAACTATTTAAATTACTTTTTATAGTGGAGGTGGCCAGAATTGCTAGTTCAAAATACTGTTCTAACATTATACATACCTTAAGTTCAAAAGATAAAACAAAACTGGGCAAGAGGAAAAAGAAGAAAGTCAAAACAGTCATTTATACACCACAAAATAGACACAATGAAGTGACACAAATGCAGATTTTTCCAGAATTGGTGAGTTGCAGAATGTTCATTAAAACTGTAAATGGACTCCTACTGAGTTGAGCTGAATCTTGGTTCATTAAACAAGACATAAGGGAGGATATACAGCTGATTTGGACAAATTATTTGCTTTTACTCCTCCTAAGTGTCTTTTCACCATACGTCAGACGAGTTCAATGGACAAGAAAAGGGATGGGAACAGATAGCTGCATCTGTGTTTTCCCTCTTGCTTTGGCTTTTGGTAATCAGAATATAGAGGAAAACCAAACTAACTTATGGCATCGATGTACACTGATAAAAATAATAAAATAGTCTGAATCAGTGGAAAGTAAGGACTTTTACAGCACTCTTGGTGATTTCTAAAATTGTCTGGGATAGCTGAAATCAGAATAATCTTTTAAAGGATTTACAGAAGCACAACTGTAATATAGTGAGTATTGCTGTTCAAGCTGTTTTGGAAGTATTTTTCTTGTGTTTTCTTTTTCAAGTATTTATGAAAACAAATTTTATGAAACTCAAGAGAAATTTTATAAAGAGTTGGTACATTTGCAAATGCAGGTGAGTTATTTCAGCTCTGTATCCACTTCCGTGGTATAAGATCCTATCTTGCAACAGTTCTGCCAAGGTGTTAATGAACTTTGACCTCAAACTTCTTTTTTTTAATAATTTTTTTTTTTTTAAATCAAGTTTATCTTGCTTTGTGGCTTGTTTTTGCTGTATTAAAAGGCAAGAGAAGAGCTATTTATTCAAGCTCACTACTCTGCTTCTGTAGTAGTTTTAGAAGAAAACGTGGCATTAATACAACCTCCCCACACACAAGATGAATTAGTGAGTATACCCACCAGACAGTAGCCTACCTACTACAGAGAGCGACTGCAACCCTGGAGGAAGTAGGAGTTTACTGTAGGAATCAACTGCATTAGAGTTCTAACGCAGGAGGTATGATCAGACAGGTCTCTGTTTCCGATCTTAATCGGTCACTGGTTGTAACTCACTTTTCCAGTAAAGCTATGAACTTAATTTCTCAATTCCAAACTGTCCTTATTAACATTGTAGGTTCTAAAGACTGCACACTCAGGAATGTGTGCCCTAAACCAGCAAATCATGACACTATACACACTACCAATAAATATGCCCTAGACAAAATAAAGGAGGGGAGTTACTATCTTCAGTAACAAGATTTCCTTTAGCAGGGTCAGCAATTACAACTCGTGATTCCACAGAAATCAAGAACAGTCCTGACTCCAAATCCTCTTTTCTGTTGAAGAAAAAAAAGGTCCGATAAATCTAGCCAAACATTGAGGAGCATGTATGCTTAAGGCCATCGTGCTTCCTCAAGCGAGGGTGGAGGAAGTTTTATTAGGAGTGAAGGGTTTAAAAGCCACTGAAGGCAAAGCGAGCTACAACATAGGTCATGACTGTTAATGCTGCACCCTTCTTCTAGGCTGTCCAACATGCCATATTCCTTGTCTTCATATGCAAAGGCAGGATCATCATTAGAACTATATGTTTTCTTGGTAAGTGCTTTTTCCACCGTTTTCCAACTACTCAAACAGGTGGGTTTTAACCCCTATTAAAAGTCCCTCTCCACACCTTAGCATTAACAATTTATACTCAAGGAATTAAGGCCCAGATCCAGTGGGACTTGAGTGGAATGTAAACCCTTATGGCCCTCTGCCTTAAAAGCATTTGCTCATTGGTAAAGTTATCTGGAAGTCTCAGTTTCCACACCCAGTATCACCTCAATCTTATTACTCCAGGGTATCTTATTTAAAACCTTGGTCCAATCCATATAAAGCTTGAAGGATCAATTCGATAGCCCTACTTACAGTTTGTCTGGGATCTCTTCACGTTGACTGCTACAAACTATGTAAAACAGAGGTTTCTATGTTCAATAGATCAGAGGAAAAGACTCCCACCAATACATGAGAATTGCCATTTCAAAGATGAGTTTGCCAACAGGCAGGTATGGTCATCTCGCTTCCTGAAGAAAATTTATGATTCATGGGGTCACAGAATTTATTGCAAAAGTCTCCAGTTCCTGTGCAAGAGCTATTTTTGGATTTTATTTGGTGATTGTGTAAGATATGCACATATATAGGATCAGGGACTAAGTCAGACTTCCTCATCCAAGCTCACTGCCAGCAACACTAAGTGCCTGCAATGAATCACAGTCTTCTGCATATTGGGAAGTGCTTTAACCACTACAATACCGTAGACAGATCGCCAGCAGCTCCTTCTCCTACTCTATTTTAATGGCAGTAAATTAATTGTTTCAGAAAGGAATAATTTTGCTACCTAACACTATCACAGGCACTTCCCTGAAGCCTGGACTTAAATGCTTAGGCCTCCAAGAGGAGTGGCACTTCAGTGCACACATTCTGCTTTCTGTGCCTCCCACCAGCTAGTTGAGCTGGTCCTTACCCATCCTGCATGCTGGCTGTTTCAAACATGGCACTGTGAAAACACTCTTTGCTGCTCTAGTTACATTCCAGCCCTATGAGAAGTTCCCATTAACAGAGATCTGCCCACAAGCTTCTCACAGCGGTGCTCTCTGATCCATTCAGTCCAGCTACAGGTAACCTCCAGAAGACAAGCAGTAACATCTTCCATGCACTGGATCCACATCTATGGGCACAACAGCAGCAGTTGTGTCCAACAGTCTCTATGCTTTGTAACAGGATCCATAGTTCCTCACACAACACCGCAAATATGTTCTTAGTTACTTTTAATCAATCAATATAACCAGGGGTTTTTTTTTTTGTGATGCTCCACTTTCTAGACCAATATCATGTATCTTTTTAATATATTTCCCTTCTCTTAACGGTTTCTCTCCAGATTTACTTAAAGCAAGGAATCCATTTCCTAGTTGTTTAAATATATTTGAGACACCCCACCACTACAACCAACTTCTACCCATCCAAGAGAAGTGGAACTTTGATCGCCAATAGAAGTTTCAGTAGCTTTCTGAGTGGACTTCAAGTTTTTATAGCAAAAAGTTGTACCTTTGTCCAGCCAGGAAACTTGACATAGGTGTCTTGAGGCAAGTCTGGAATCCCTCCAGGAATTGAAAGTCTACCAGTGTAAAAAGTAGGTGCTTCATAACTCAGTGGATTGCCAGATCTCTTTGGTCGGTCAAGGTGGCCATTAATGTCATGGTTCACTGCTCCATCTATATCTAGAGGATAGATTTCCCACTCAACAAGTATATCTTGATCAAGAGTTAAATTTGAAACTAGACCCTAGGAGGAGGAAAAAAAAACAAACACCAAACCATATCATAATTAGCTTCATGTTATTGAAGTTATTTGGCTGCAACTAGAAATCAGTCAGAAATAAAAACTGAATCAAAAGTACTTGCAACAGCTGCCATTCTGTGTATGAAAAAAAACAAGCATCTGGTCTTCACCAAGTTATAAGCTTTGCTTAAGAATAAAGGGTTTCATTTATTCTCTGTGAAAGATCTGTTCCTCTTCAAAGTTTTGAGCTTTCACTGATGCCTAAGTTTTTTTTTCAAACTTTTTTCCCGTAACTGAAAATTTCTGTTTTGCTTTAACATGAACACAATTCCAAAACCTGGGGCTTAATAAAAAGCAGAAAAAACCATTAAATATTGTAAGTTTGAGATACCATCAAGAGATTTGGTAACACTGAGTCACTAACCCAAGACATTAACCTGCACAATAGCAAAGAAAGCAGTATTTCCTTCCTACAAATCTTCCACAGCTAACATACAGTATCACAAAATCAAGGCACATGCTTTGTGACCCTGATTCAGTGAAATACTTTAAGCTTACAGTCAGCTTCAAGCCCACGGAGTCCTGTTTCATTTCTATGGAACCACATGTGCAGCACACCAGGGTACTTGCACAATGAATGCAAAAGCAAGGTAAGGTCATGATTTAAGAAGAGTGAAAGGAACATTAAGTTACCCCTGCACACATCCAAATTGTGTTATAATAATAGTTTCTAAAGTTGTGTTTCAGTGCAATGCAAGGGGTTGATTTTAAAGCAATGCTGCTACATCCATATAATCGCTTGAATAGACCCTGCATAGAAGCTGTTTTTCAGTGCAACTCCAGTTCTGTTGCAAACACCACATGTCGAACAGGAACAAGCAAAACCACATTTTTTATGGCCTTAGAGGGCTGATACCATGTCATGTGTCTCTTCTGACGTCTAATAAGCATTGCACTGACTCCACAAGCCTCATCATCCATACGAGCAATAATTGGTTTTCTCTTCCTTTACCTAGATGCCCACGTTACAGAACAGGAACTTTTTTTTTTTAATTAAAATAAAATATCTGCACAGAGTTAAGTGGCAAAACTTTTCTATACAACCTAGACTTTACTCTGTCTAGCAGTCAATTGAAGTAATGCAACATAATTTTAGCCCAAACTTTCTAACCTGCGTGTCCATCTTTAGGCACTACAGTGTGATTTTTCAAATGAGATGAAGTGCCTACTAAGCATTCTTACTTTGGTCTGCATAAGAATGCATATTCAACAGTCCAGATATATAAATTTTCCAAGTAAAACAAAGATATAGGTGGCACTAAGCATGTCAAAAAATACAGAAAAAACAGAAACCACACTCTTCCTTCGTGTCCTTCAACAGCAAGACTTGGATCAGCAGGATGTTTTAAAACCAAAACCCTTTTAAGATTCCTTCCCAAAAGCTAGATGCCTGGTTCCATTTGAAGCTCAAAAAAAGTGATAAAAAAACCCCAGCCAAACAAAACCCAGAAAAGCTACCCTATTTCCTTAAAATGCGAGGCTTCACAAGGTAGGAACCTCTTCCCCTAAAGTTATTTTTGAAAGCACAAAATATCTAAAACCCAACGTATAATTATTCCCAGTTTTCAAAATCAACACAAAGAACAGCGTAAGGGAGGGATTCTATGGGAAGAAGCAATGCACATTTTCCAAAGCTACCTGCGAAAGGCTGCCTCTTCCGCACGGAAGGATCCTGCTTTTAGAGGATTATTCTCACAATGCACATGTCTACTAAGCTTGCTTTCACTCTTAAATCTTTAAATGGTTGAAACGCTGGTATAAGTGTGAATTTCAGCTCAACCACAGCAACGCTGAGCACCTCCCTAATCCAACCTCTAAACCTCTGTTACCTTAATTTAGCACTAAGCACATAGGTTCCTTATTACCTGGCCTGTTATTAAATAAATAAATAAATGCAACATTTCTGCTGCCTTTACATGAAGGCAAAACGTTGGGGAACTAGCTGCCCTCTCTCGCCACTCAGATAAAGGCAAGGTACCTTGAAAAGACAGTATAAACAGAGTTGGCACTCCTGCTGCCGACTGAATTTATAGGCCACAAGCACAGAAAACCCTCAGTTGCTGATGCTTTTAATTCAGAGTTCCCACATATATTTAGTTTTGTTCTGATTAGGATTTAAGTAACTGTATGCCTTCCAAAGCGTAAGATGGGTGAAACCGCTTTTTGATATGGTGAAAGCCTGTAGGCTACCAGCTTTGCAAATGCTGAGAGTTATATTGCTTTGCCTTGACTAGAGTCTTAGCATAATTGGAAATACACCTAAAAATCTCATCACAACACACTTAAGAATAAGATAACTGGTCAATTAGTCTCCTTCAACCAGGTGTCAGCTTCAATTCTTCCATGCTGCTTAATCATAACTAATATATCCTTCTTTAACTATGCAAACAGGCCCATCCTACTCATGGCAACATAACACAAGTGTGAGAATGGGAGATTCTGCCTACTGGAGATCTTGCAAGTCTCCTCCCAGTCTATGTTTTATGATTGAACTGGATTCTGTAACAGGCCCAAACTCAACCAGAGTTTGTGGTCTCATCAACTAGGCTACTCAAGATGCATACACATTTGGGTTTACTTTTTCCCCTACTTACAACTTTAAGAATCCTACTTCCTCACAGTATGTGTGCCTTTGCTTGATAACTAAACGGTACTGTTCAGGGACGTACCTTTCCTGTAATATTTATCTTTCTCCAGCTCTTGCATCCAAACTAACCGAGAAACACTTTGGACAAGTCTTAATTTTGCTCTGAGATACCTGCCACAGACAGAATTTTGTTTGAGAGGAAACAGAAGCTTCTAATTTACCTGGCATCACCTTAGCACCAAAAGGCACCACAATCATCAGGCAGCTATTAAACATTTGACAAGCTTTCTGAACACCGCCAAATCAATTTAGGCTAAGTCAAATCTAGGGGGTGTTTAAGAGATTCTTCCAGTTAGGGGGCTCCAAATCTCTTCTTAATTGTAAAGCTTTGTCATTACTTCATTATTACTTGTAACCCACTAATATAAAAAACTAAAAAAATAGCGTGCTGTGGCACTGAACACGGCAGAAACACAACACAAGACTGGCCTCTACAATACTGCTCTCTTTAGCAAATACCGCACAGTGCTTGGGATCCCATAAAGTCTAAACCCAGGAAAGTTTCCTTTTTGCCCCTGCCCTTCCTAGTGTTATGTTAGTGGCACTGCCACTGTATTGGGTTTACGTGGCAAGGTTTTGATAGCACAGGGGCTGCAGGGGTGGCTTCTCTGAGAAGATGCCAGAAGCTGCCTCCATGTTGGACAGAGCCAGTTCCAGATGGCTCCAAGATGGACTGGACCCGCTGCTGGCCAAAGCCAAGTCCATCAGTGATGTTGGTAGCACCTCTGTGATAACATTTCAGAAAGGGTAAAAACCACTGTGTAGCAGCTGTGAGAGAGGAGTGAGAAAAATGGGAAAGAAACAGCACTGCAGACATCAAGGTCAGTGAGGGAGGGGGAGCAGGTGCTCCAGGCGCCAGGGCAGAAATTCCCCTGCAACCCATGATAAAGACCATGGTGACACAGGTTGTCCCGTTGCATCCCATGGAGGTCCACGGTGGAGCTGATATCCAACCTGCAGCTTGTGGAGGACCCCACGCCAGAGCAGGTGGATGTGCCCTGAATGAAGCTGCAGCCTGTGGAGAGTCCATGCCCCTGGCAGGAGCTGTAGCTGGTGGAGAGGAGCCCATGCAGGAGCACAATTTTCTGGCAGGAGCTGTGACTTTTTGGGGGGGACAGACGCTGGAGCAGTCTGTTCCTGAAGGACTGCACCCCATGGAAAGGACCCATGCTGGAGCAGTGCTTGAAGAACTACAGCCTGTAGGAAGAATCCATATTGGAGAAGTTTATGAAGGACTGTATCCCATGGGAGGGATCCCATGCTGGACCAGGGGAACAGTGTGTGGAGGAAAGGGTGGCAGAGATGAAGCATTATGAACTGACCACAACCCCCATTCCCCATCCCCCTGTGCTGAGGGGGAGGAGGTAGAAGAGTCAGGAGTGAAGGGAGGTGTGGGGGGAGGGGTTTTTAAGATTTGTTGTTATTTCTCACTATCCTATTCTGTTTAATTGGCAATAAATTAAATTAATTTCTCCAAGTTGAGTTTTGCCCATGATGGTCATTACTGAGTGATCTCCCTGTCCTTATCTCAACCCCCAAGCTTTTCATCGTATTTTCTCCCCGTCCTGTTGATAGAGGAGTGGTAGAGCGGCTTGGTAAGCACCTGGTAGCCAACCAAGGTCAACCTATCACAGCCACTCATGCAGGGAGGTGACAGTCCCAACGTGTAGCATGGACCCAGAAGCATTCAGAAGCTTTCTGATAATTATCTCTAACACCTGATCAGTCCAAATCTGAACTGGCAATTTTGCACGGTAAAAAAAAAATGCTCATGAGACAGCCTTTCCTAACCACACTGAAAATATTGCAAGGGTACGCTGCTGGCAAATGAAATGGGACATGAAAAGAGATACAAAAGTGTATATATATACACATACATACATACATACATACACACACACACACACACAAATACAACCCCAGGATTCACAAGCCTCAAAGTAAGACCAAGATCTAGACCGATTTCCAATGCATTTTTGGAGTTTATCCAAACAGCTTTGCACACTTTAAAATGTTAGCTACAGGCTCAACTCAAACTGAAAGTCTTGTGGGCGACACTTTGGCTGACAACATAAGTGAACCAACAAAAAAAAAAAAAAAAAAAAAAGTCTGTCAGTTTTTAATTCCACTTTGATTTCAGTGACTGGAAAAACTCAAATGAAAACTAGTGAGTAGTTATATTTTGAGGTAAAGTTGCAGCTGTGTAATCCTGATCCCTTTGCTCTAACACACTACTTTCTTTATAAGCTGTGGAAAAGAGGAAAAGTCACCACAATCCAGTAATTCAAATGATTTTACTTACCTTAAAGTCATTATTGTATCTACCGAAGTTGACTCGGCCCATATTCTCTACCAAGATGTCCAGATTTGCTCCAGCCTTCCCAGTTATATTTATCATAAGTGATTTGTCCCTTTCAAGGACACCTTGAGGAACCTATATGAATTACACCACGAGGAAGAAAACAATAACCATTGAAAACCCTGATATTTGTCTCTTCAACTTGCATGAAGAAAAGAAAGGGGACAAAGGAAACAAACAAAAAAGTAAAAAAAAAAAAGTAATTTTCCTTTCCTCCTCTTGCATGTGAGCACACACACAGACAAAGCTGCTATGTCAATATTCACATTTCAGTACATCAACTGCATGTGCTGCTAGACAGCATTTGTCTGACACCAGCCATCTCTTAGCTGAATTCAACTAACTCAATCAACTGTTAGAACGCTAGTGGTTTTGATGCACCTGATTGACAAAAAGCAAGTTCTCAAATTTAGTCTAGTGACTGAAAAGATTTTGGCAATATCAGTGATTAAAAGGGGCTGCATCTTCCAATTAAGCACGCATCAATATTTAGCTTTATTCCCAGTCCCACAACATAAGGAAAGAAAGACTTGACCTGGACACAAAGGTGATGAGAGTCAGCACACGTCAAAGAATAATTAAAAAAATAGGCTATCAAAGTCTGTGAATTGATATTAATTCTCATTAAGCAGGAACAAAACCCTGCTTAAGGGAAGAAACGTGAAGTTCGCATGCTGTACAATAAACTTCTTTTTTTTTTTTTTTAACTTGTGGTCAGAAGCTAGTTTCATAAGGTAAGACACAGGCTCAGGCTTCCACTTCCCCCCACCCTCAAAGGAAAAAAAAGAGAAGAATTAAAAAAACAAAAAACAAAACAAAACAAAAAAACAAAAAAAAACAACCTATGGAAACATTGTAGAAAGCCACCAAGCATATATATGTCATTAACATATTTCATGAACCTGCAAGTAAACCCTTCTTCTAGTTTGTTTTGTTTTGTTTTTTTTTCCCCACTGAAGTCATGAATCTATATCAACATTCAAATATCTCAAAAATGGAAACAATTACATTTTCCTTAGAAATAATAGATAGGTATATTTTCTGAAATATGAATATGAACATTAGTATGAATCAACTGTATACTTCCTTACTTCCTTCATCTGATTAAATAAGATCATCTAATAAAGTTGTTTTGGTAAGCTGGAGAAAGGAGGAAAAAAAAAGGCAGACTGTATCCATGACTTTTGTGAAGGCCACTCATAGCAGAAATGAATACCAGCAAACAGTGTTTACCCCATCAACAGAGACATAGGCACGATCATGGACTCCATTTAAAGGTGAAGACAGTTGTGTTGGCTCCGTACAGTTTTTTGGAAGCGTAGTTCTGTACAGTACAAACCCAAAATACTAAGAAAAGAAAAGAAAGGAAAAAACCCCAAACAGATTAATAAACCAAGTCATTCCGTAGCTTCGGTTCAGGTCATGAATTAGAAATATCCCACATTCCTGCCTACACGCTCGGATTGAAACGTTAACCTTCATTCACTTCAGATAGCATCTATCACAGATACCAGCTTCAGATTAGAGTTCACTTTGACCTTTAAGTAATGGGTGTAAATTCCACAGAGTTTCCATTTTTAAGTGTTTCATCAGAACATCTACGTAACTTGAAAAGATAAGGGTCTTAGCTATGAAGGTATTTCCTCAACAGAAACAAAGCAGTTAATGACCGACAGTATTATTTCTTCATTAAAATCAATGAAAAGATAGCTGGAAAACCCCTTCATAACTGAGTTTATATAACAAACTTGAAAGTGCACTTGTTACTCAGTGCCCATAAATTGACATATTCATCAAGTCAATATTATCTATTTTAAAAACTACCTGATTTACATCAGGAACGTTTTGGAATATTTTTCACTAAGTTCCCCATCAGGAAAGAAAAAAATAAAGTAACTGGATTTGTTCTCATCACAAAGTGAAACACAAATTAAAAACAAGTCAAAAAATGCATTGTCTCTTTCGCTGAGTAGCCACAAAACCATTTATCTTCAAGACTTGGATTAGAACATAACCCTGGCAGGAAAAAGTGAGAGTAAACCATTTCCATTCTGCTGTAATTACTAGACTTGCATCACATTTGCAACAAGGTGCCCAGAAAAAGGGAGGGGGGGCAGGAGGGAAAGAAAAAGGTTTAAAAATATGCTAGGAAGCTCCTCTGGCTGCCCTCTTCTCTCAGGAGTTTTCCTAAGCAGAGTACTAAGGGTGGGAAGGCCAGAGGACGAGAGAGAAAAGCCTGCTAGAAATTACACCTAGCCATAGCATACTACCTGCAGCTTCTCTCACATCTCTCTATTAGTGGCTTGGAAAGGAGAAATCTGAGCTTTGAACCCCTGCTTGACTAATGCCATATCCCACACATCTGCTAAACTACTCCCCCCTCTTCTCCCTCCCCCAACTACTACCACCATCACATTGTCTCCAAGTAGTTTATTTTAGCTGCAGGCCATTAGCACCCATGCTCCAGTCTCCACAAAATTTGGTACAGAAATGATCAAGGAGCCATGTAACCTTAATGGAAAGACAGAGTCCCTCAGCAGCAAGGGAAAGACCTTTGACTGTGAGGGAAGATATGGAAGTCACCAAAAGTGACAGGGAAACTGATGCAGAGACTGACAGAGAGGGAACATAGGGGAGAGTGGGAGTCAGCAGAAGCCACAGGAAAATGCAGAGAAAGGTATTTTTCCTATCTCAACCAGTGGGGTGAATGACCTCCACAGCGGGCTGCAACAACTCCAAGAGGTTGCTCCCAAAGGTTTCTCTCACTGCATTCTCTTGCCTCATCATACATAGTAAAAGAAAAGAACTACAAATAAGTAGGAGGCCCACAGAAGTGTAAAATTGTATTCCCCAATTTCCAGGCCCCCTGACTTGTATAAGAAAGCAGTGTCTCAGCTACTGTGCTCACTCTGATAGCAGATGGGGAGAGGCAAAGAAAAAACAGGATAAATAATAAGGAAAAATAATAGTGAAGAAAAAGATGGATTAAAAAAAAAGTCTCTTAAGAACCTGAAAATCAATACTTCAGAGAGGAGAGAGATAAAGGTAAAAGCCTGGACAGCATATATACCTACATTCATGGAAAGAGGAAAACCTCGGGTGCAGAACAGGAGCGTTGTAGTATATGGAAAGGTCTCCAGTGCAAAAATCCAGGACACCTTTATAATACCATTACCTCTGTGCTGAGATAAGGTGTAAGACACTGACATAAGAAGAGTCATACCACAGAGGGTTGTTAAAATAAACTTTACAAAATTACTGCAAAGTGCCTACTAAAGGAATCCTCACCTGCTTTAGCTGAACAAAGGTTAATGGGTAAGTGCTTTTCACCGGTCCCGCAGGCGACAGCCTGTCAAGAACCTCCACCACAGTGCCCACCTGCAGCATAGAAAAAGCAGATATATGAAGGTCAGTAAATTTCAATCCAAATACAATAGCTTGCATATCCAGCCACCTAGCCAGCTAGCTGCATCTGTCCAGAAAGCAAAGAAATCTTAAGCCCCTATGTCATCCTTACAGACACATTAATACAATACAGTACAGAGACCTGATGAACCCTGAAAGAAACATCCTACATGTGGAGCAATGTTTTAAAAATCCAGATGTTTTAAATTTGCTATGCATTCATAAAAGTGAGCCTTTATTATTCAATGAGAACTAACCCAGGAGTTTCTCACAAAAGTTCTATAAACAAACACAACAGCCTGGACAATTAATACAAAACAACTATATTATCTAAATGTTGCTCAAATTATACTTAAAATCAACCTAGGGAAAATGCCACTGATTTCCAGTGAGTTACTCTGGAATAATTCTGAGCTAAGTAGTGATACAATTTGATTCCATCAAGAGTTATCCAAGATGAATTTACTCTATTTAGTCTTAAATGACTTTAGAAACCCTAAGGCTGTAATTCAGTGTCACATATAAGTAGCTGGACTGATTTTAGTGAGACTGCGACAAGGTTTAGGCTAGTCACATGCATAAGTACCTTGCTGAATAAGGACTTACATGTGTACAATTAAATTGCCTTTTGTTGCCATCTGTAATTTCCTTTTGCAATTATAGTTTTTTACTCATCTACAATTCTCTCTCAAAGCCCACTATCAATTTTATGTTAGTCAAGATGCACACAATATGCCCAGAGTCTTACAAGCTCAAAAAAATCAATTGCATTCATATTTTTCATGCAAGATGTCAGTGCGTTTCACCAGAAGTACTGTCACTGTTCAGTGGTAATTACACATCAGGCATTCAAAATATTTCTCAAATGCAAATTTACTTTCAAATGCTTGAGAAAAAAAACAGTAAAAAAAATTAGGCATTTAAAATTATATAAGACTGTATACTGTAAGAGCATTCACAGCAATACAAACTTCTGAGGCTACTTCAACAACAGAAGTATGGAATTTTTGCCAAGCATACATGAAATTCAGCAATGCTGAAATATTACATTATATATCAAAACGTACATCACTTTGTGTGAAATCCTGTATGTGACAGAAGTCAGCATGAATTGTCTACGTACACGCAATTATTTCTTCAGTATAGTACTGGTTTTGGCTGGGATAGAGCAAAATTTCTTCATAGTAGCTAGTAGGAGGCCATGTTTTGGATTTGTGCTGAAAACAGCGTTAATACCCCTGAAAACAACAGGGATGTTTTAGTTACTGCTGAGCAGTGCTTACCCAGAGTCAAGGCCTTTCCTGCTTCTCACCCCACCCCATCAGCGAGTAGGCTGGGGGTGCACAAGAAGTTGGGAGGGGACACAGCTGGGACAGCTGACCCCAACTGACCAAAGGGATATCCCATACCATATGATGTCATGCTCAGCGTATAAAGCTGGGGGAAGAAGAAGGAAGTGGGGGGACACACTGGTGATGCCTCTGAAGTAGAAGCAGCATCCCTCGGGAAAGGATGCTCCCCACATTCTGGGTCTTAAACCCCTAAACCCTGTCATCTTGCTCACATTTCAGGAACCCATCTGTTGCTGTTCTGCCTTTGCCGGCCCTCATTCCTCATCTTCAACACTTCTCTTTTGCATCTATGCAACAAGATTTTTTCCTCATCGCCTGCTTTTCTGTCTTCTGCTCTTCTGTAGCACTGTCAGTGTCCCCAGCATCTTTTAATAAATTACCTTTTTTCCCCACCCAAGAGAATTCTTTAAAATAATTCAATAGCTCAAAATGAACAACTGCCTGATTGGGGAACAGCAGGGGAGTTTTTCATATTTTATTTCTTTTCCCTCCCCAACTAACCTGGGTTCCCCAATTATTTTCATCTGGGGCAACCTATTTGCAAACATCCAAAACCCAGCAAATATGACAGGCAGCACTGCTAAGGGCAGAGATCTCTTCTCCTCAAGTTTAGGTCCTGAGTAGCTGAGTACTCAGGTACTTAAGGACTGAATTATCACAGAATATCTTGTGGAAAAAAAAACAGAGAACAGCCTGCTCTGGTTACACGTACCTCTGTAAAGTACACCGTATGACTCTTGAAAATACTCTGGAGTCTCCTTTCCCCCTTTCTTTCTGCAAAAGTGTCAAGGGAGTTGGTTCACTGCAGTAGATTCAATGCTCTGCATAGCAGACTGACTGCTGGACCTCGACTGCACAGGGAAGCTTCGCATAGTACCTGTTTTAGCACTGTCACTGCAAACGATATAGCTGGGAAGTTTACTATTACCAAAGCTAAGTCTTATCATTTAGAATATTCCCTCTCTGATATTCACCCAAATACATTCAGGCATCTCCATGCAACAAGGTGCACTGGACCTGGTCCCAGCAGGGGCTAGAATGCATGACGGAGTTGGGAGGACGGCTTTGGCTGGGATGGGACAAACCCTCTGTGATTTGAGACTCATCCTGTGCTGCAGGGTAACCAAGCAGAGGAATAAACTGCTGCTGAAGTTAAGCAGTGGGTTCACAGAGCAAAAAGCAGCCTTTTTCCCGGAAAACAATTCTAGAGGCTTTCAGTGCAGATGGCAGTATATCTACAGGCAATAAGAGGAACCTCACACCTGGCAGTTTAGACATGCCATCTGGATTCCTAAAACTGCTGGGTGGAGAGTAAAATACCTCCTGTCAAAAAAGCAGGAAGTGTAGAAGGTGAGAAGGTGCAGGAACAGGGCTCCCAGTGTGATGGCCAGGTCAAAGCTGCGGTATTTGAGCAAGCTTAGTCATCTGACTCCTCCTTTGTAAAACAGGTGTCTGGGCCAGGCACGCTGCAGCATTCACTTCTCGAAGGCATGAAAGAGAAAGTTCATTGTTCTAGTGAAATTGGACAGCCCTATCCGAGAGCCATGAACCATGAGAAGATGGGAGAGTCAAAATCTGATTGCTAGGCTCCCAAACGCTGGCAACCTATGAAGTAGGTTGTAGAAGTGCTGGGTGTACTGATAATGGTATATAGTCACTACCAAATATAAGCCAGTTCAGTGAAACCTCATATGGCAACCCCTGCCCTAAAAAGTCTGAAGATACTCAAAGGTTGTTGAAAATGATATAGATCTGTTTCAACTTCACTGGTGAATCATTTTTATACAAAAAGTAGTTCTGCCCACCACTTGAGTGGGATGACTTGAAAATGCCTGCAAAGCCTTATCACTACTAAATTTTGCAATACTTCAGCTGCAGTGCATAACAGATCAGATACATCACTGATTGGAAAGGTGGCTGCCAAATTAAAAGTACAAAGTATAAAATCAAAGCATTATGAACTGGTTTCCAGTACACCAACTGCAGTAATCCTCCACCTCAGAACAACTTGTCTGTGCCAGCAGAATGAATATAGCCAACTTCATACCCGTTGTCTCTTCCATCCCCCCTTAAGGCATCCTCTACACTCACTGCAGGAACCTAGTTCTCAACCGTGTTTCACAGAAAATTGTCACTGGTCCTAAAATGATGGTGCTATGGACAAACCCCAGCTACTCATGTGCTGACCAGTTATATCACTGTTGTCAGACAAGATATAGCAAGGCTGGGTTCTGCATGCTAGGTTCTGCATGCTTTTCCCTTGGCAGGAAACTAATTTAATTTCTCTCATCAGCTACAGATCTTCACAAATCTTATAAGAAACTTTTCAATAAATTTAAAAGTCTTATTGATATATGTTCCATATTCAAAATTTAAACACCTAGAAGTATTTAAAAGATATGTATATCCTATCTGCTGCTTCTACTTCAGAGGCATCACCAGCTACAAAAACACTCTTTGCTCATAGCTCTCATACTAGCATTCCCCCAGCTACATTACTCATACATGAGTTATCTTAGACAACTATGATTCTGTTGTGTTAATAATGTATTAATTTCAGTTCAGTAAAACTTCAGACACATACTGCATATTGCAAAAATTATCTTTTTATATCCAGAAAACATACATTTTCTCATTCTCTACCCTGGGCATGATTCCTAACTCCCAAGCTCTGCTCGCTCCTTCCTGAAAGTTCGGTTTCAAGGTTTTCCTCTTTATTTTGTATGATATCTAGAGACTGCTGTGACACCCTCATAAACATGTTTTGCAAAAAGCAAACATACAGCATTACGGAAATATACACAGCATATTACAGATGTTAATTTACCTTCTGCAAGCGAACCTTCCCGTATGCAAATTTGGGTGTTGTCGGAGGGATAAGACCTTCTGGTAACTGCTTATACTAGAAAGGGAAGGAGGGGAAAAAAAAAAAAAACACACAAAACTTAAATACAAACATGCTTTAACTGAATTCTCACTTTCCACTTCACAACTTACAAAAGTAGAACTTTGGGCTAAAAGACTAGAGCTGCATCTAGTCTAACATGGAGGGGTTTTTTTAAAAAAAACAAACAAACATCTGACTTGATCACATATAGTAAACAATTTTTAATAACTATTCAACTTGAGGTAACGGTAAAAAGCATAGTGAACAAACGAGCTGCCAAAGAATCACAATGCCCTTTGAGCCCTCCTGTGGTTAGAGCTTGCATTACTGTCTTCTACAACCCTGCAGTCTCCCCAGTCCAAGGGAGCTTGACTTAACGTTTCCAAGTCTGTGGAGCAGTAATTCCACCTGACCCTTCCTTAGCAGCACTTCCATATGGGAATTATTAGCCTCTTGTGCCTTTCCCTTCAGTGTTACTATACTCCACAACCATCACCTGCTAATCCATTACTGCCTGAGCTGGTTTCTTTGAGAAGCAGGCCTTGAGACCACAGCTTCCTCCACAGCTCCATGAATCCTTGAGGTCCCATCGTTAGCTTCCCTCTGGTCCTGGTCTAGACAACTGCCCAATCAATCACAAGGAAACATGACAAGGAAACACTCTGACTGCTGGGCTATTTTTGTTTGCTTCTTGCCCTATTATCTCTAGGAAGAACCATCTGAGATCAGCAGTGAGAAGGGGTGAAGGATGTCCACCACTTTCTTGACACCTTTCTTGACACCTCTGAGGAGTGGCAAGTCTAGACAGTGGCTTTCTGCCCCATACCCTAGCCTCCTCCTTTCTGAGCCTACAACCTTCTTTTCTCCCTGCCATCGCCCCTTCTCCCTTTCCTGCCATTACTTGTCTCCTGTAATGTCCACTTTTCCTATCTGTTCTTTCATTTACTGAACATGACCCTGTCTGCACATTATAGAGAAAAAACTTCTGCAGATGAGATACCCATGCGATCAAGGAATCTAAGCCTACATTTTAATACACATGCACAAATGACTGCTCTTGTGAAGACTATCTTAATCTGCACATTTGGTGACTTCTGAGTACTTACTTTGGCAGCTCCTAGTTGTTTTGTTTTGTTTTTTAAATAAATTTGGTGAGGGGCTGAAAGGGCATTTTTCTTAAGAGATTTTACTTTGATTGCAGCTTGAAAGTTTTAGCACAAGGCATGATTTGCTGGGCTTACACATGGTATATCCAGCATAAAACTCATGCTCAAAAGCTGACCTCTGCAGCAAGACAAGGTTGGGTTTTTTTGTTTAGTTGGTCTATTTTTTTTTTAAACGTTTAGTTGTTTGGTTTTTTGTTGTTTTTTTTTTTTTTAAATGGACCACAGCTGTGTAATTCCCAATGCCCTCCTGTCAAATTTCGACTATGGACTGATGAAAGCCTGATTTATATTTCCGGTAACAAGTTCATTTCTTCCTCTCTGTATTTGAAAATAATCAAGATATTCTGGCTTAAAGAAAAGAAAAACTATATTCACCCAAAAGAAGAAGTCAAAAGTAGGAAATTTCAGCCCAAATAGTAAAAATTAGAGATTGCTGTCAGCAATTGAAAGAAGCTGTAGACTGAAACCCTTCTTATTTATTACATTTATTAACGGAAGGAAACAGTAAAGGAATATTATAACGTGTTAGCCTTGTGGCACAGCTAAGATCTTGAAAGCAGTCATTAGTTACAGGCAACTTAATTTTCTTTCATCAGCTCCACCTCAAACTGCAACTGAGTAGATAAGACTGTTACGGGTTTAGAACCCACCGCCGAGACAGGAAAACTTCACTGAGATCCTAGGGATATGGAAGGTAAGAGATAAAGAAACCACACCAAAAAAAGCTGTACCATGACCCAACACACCTTAGGTTAAACTGAACACTTCAGATCTTATCAAAGCTATCTCAGTGCACTAGAACACTACTTACATTTCAGATAGGGATCTTGCCTTGAAGAAAACAACTCAAAAACAGGAAGTTTGGGAATTTCTCTGGTGAGAAAAGCTGTATCAAGACAGGAGGTTCCCCTTGAAAGGCTATCAAAATTATCCCATCAATGGAAAGCTTAAGGATAATGGAGAAATTGAAGAAAATGATCCACAGCAGGCCTTCCACAGGTACGGAGATAAAGGCGTGCTCAACCCTAGAGAAAGTGTAATACACTTTTGGGAGATCTACTCCCATCAAAAAATGTCTTCTCATGAATAGGAATGTTGCTGGCATGCAACAGGACAGCGAGTACAAGCCTGAGCCTTGGCAGATCCCATGGAATCTGTTTTTAAGCCTCATCTGAATGGCCTCCAATAAGGCTATTCAAAATCCAGATATAGGTGCCATGTTTCACTTCAATCTCCAGTTTGTAGAGATACTGTGCATTTTTACAGCAAAGGCAAAGCTGGTCCCACCCACTAGCTACAGTTTGTGGCATCACAAAAACAAGATGTGTTCATTTGGATAAGCACGCTCCTTCTCAGAGAGGCCCAAAACCACAACATGAAGCTTGGGATACGGACAGCCAAAGCACTAAGCTGCAGTGCGTATCAAGCTGACATTAAGTGATCAGCCTGAGCCGACTGAATGGCTGATCTCTGCTGCAAGGGTAAAGCTCTGTTCACTCCTCCTCCATCTCTACTCCCAGCCAAACCCTTCCTGCCTCCTTCTGCTCCCCTTGTGCCAGCACCGGCTCTCATCTAACTGAGCCAGCCAATTCGCTTACTGACCTTGAGTCGAAAGAAGACAAACACAGAAAAAAAGCAGAGCTGAATCATTTCTGTGTCAGACCTGCACCAGTATCCCCAACTCCGAAAGGAAGGAGGGAGCCATCAGCACAGAAAGGATAGCCAGAGAGGTGCAAGATCTTTCCCCTTGTGTAACAACAAGCAGTTCGGTTGGCCTAATCGCCTTGTTCTACTTCACTTCCCTTACTTGCAGAAAATAGTAAATTCAGAAGTAACTTATACCAACACAAGATTGAGAGAGTTTGCAATACACCAGGGATGTTTCAAAGACCCATTCTAAATATATCCGAGGGACACTCACCATACCAATGACTTCCCTCAAGGCAAAATATTTTTCTGTCAGATCCCCCGCTTCACTCAGTGGAGCATCATAGTCGTAACTAGTGGGTTGTGGCATATAGGGCATATTAGCACCTAAGGGAGGAGAGGGGAAAAAAAAAAAAAATAGAAGCAGTGAAAGAGTTGTTTTTTCTCCAAAGGTATCAACTTTCAGAATCCTTTCCAATCACAGCCAGACTCTGCTACATTTTTAGATTCAATGTAGGCCTTGGTATTTGGCATAGAGAAACTATTTCTGACGGAGGACAACGTCCTTCTGAGCTCACACTGCTCTGTTTTACAGTCTTCAGAAATATTCTGAAGAGAAACAAATTTATCCATGTTTCAACTGTTTCAAAGGACTGAGCGAAGCAGAAGTACCTCTGCAAAGATAAATACCATGTGGGTTTAGTACAACATGCTGGAAATAAACAGAGAACAGCTAGCACAGTCATCTTTTGCCATGTGAAAGCAGGCATAGATTGTTCTTTCGCAGAATACCTTACTACCTAATTCATAAACAGCTTCCCTACATCATTAGTATAATTTAAATAATTTCTTACCATTCCAATAGGCAAAGTTAGTCCCACCTATAAACATGTACCTAAAGGAAAAAAAGCCATCCACTTAAAACAGGTTTTGCTGAATTGGGAAACACCCCCCCCCCCCAAATTAACCTCTACTGAACACATACTTACAAGTTAACGTTAGCACCACGTGCCAGGATTTCATTAAGTGTTTTAGCTATAGTTTGTGCGGGTACAACAGAATGACGGTGCCCCCAGTGATCCAACCATCCAGTGTAAAACTCAGAATTAACCTGAAAGGAGGCAAAAGAGGAAGGGAAAACATGAAGAGGGAACAAGAACAGAATTCAATGTGATTCAAGGTTACTAACTGTAAGAGGGAAGGAAAAAAGGCACCTTGACTCATTCGAGCCATTTTAAACTACTATAAATACAGCAAAGTATACACGAAGACAGTCCTTTTCAGCAGATTACTGGTTGAAGAAATTAAAGGATTGTTTCAATAATTTTATAGGGACACTTTGAAAATAATTGCTTAAGTACCAAAGAGCATGGATTTCCTTGGAACCCATCAACATGAACGTCTTTCAGATGCTTGGCATTCAAATGAACGATGGGACCAATACAATCTCTGCAGAATAGCATACGTAGATTAGATGTAATGAAAAAAAAAATTTTTCAAATACTCAAATTGTGTTCTCAACAATTTCATAGCACAGAGATAATCTTGTACCCTCAATGGGCCTTCTTTGTCAAAATGGCTTCCAGTGATCTCACATCCCATTATAGCTTGTGTAAAACCTCTAGGGTAGCTGAAAACAGGAAGCAACTTCTAACCTGCCCTTTTAATTTTGCTTTTAACTTCCACCCACACATGTACCTCACCAACTCATCTAATCATACTTACTGTTTCCACTGCTTTGTAAACATTTGTCTTAGCAAGGAAAAAAAAACTGAAACAGAATCAGTATCTTTTGAGACTAAAATAGTATTTACAGAACAGCAGTTAATGTGGATTTGACAAACGCACACAGAAGCTCCTCTATTCAGTTTTTCTGACTGACTTGGAAATTATGTTGTTGTAAACCTGTCCCTAAAATTGTCCAAAACATTGTTGTCAATCCTTTCTTATTAACCACTGCAAGATTAGGAATGATACAAGAAATTTAAGTGAAAAGACATACCAAAGGGCCCGTAGGTTCACTGCCCCTTTGAGCCAAGAATGCTGCTGTGACATTGCCACCTATAAGCAGATAGAAATAAAATTGAATTGTTACATCCATGACTTTCAGTCCTTCATTCTACTGAAATAGGTGCTTTATCTCCCTTTCGACATCTAGCAAAAATCCAGACAAGATAGTTACTTCAGAAAACACAGAAATGAATACCTTTGATTCCAGTGTTTAAGTTGCAGAATTTATTTAAAATATGTATGCATGCATGCATTCAAGTCTTTGCTTTTGAGATACAGCTTAAGAAAACCCGGCTTTTCTCAGGATTGACATCCTGGCACCAAAAAGTCAGATGTGTCAGAACTGCTACGTGGTCATTGGAACCTATAGGCCCGGGGTTGTGGTACCAAGACTGTGGGGAAGAACAGAAGCCAGGCAATCTCTGAAGAGGAGTTTCACTTCTGATCAATCCTAGTGGCTCAAGCCATACAGACTGGAAGTAACTACTTCCATGAGTAGCTCCCCATCTCACAAATGATACACATGAAGGAGTTCACAATTTCAATCTACTTGTAGGAAAACAGATTTCTGCTAAGCACACATCTTTGACTGTAGAGAGAATAATGTACAAAAGAGGCCACATATAAAAAAAATATGGAAAGATCTATCTTGGAGTTTGTTTCTTGTGCTTTAAGCCTATTTTGCCAAGTCCGTGCAGTATATGAACATTTACATCATTAACTCTCCTCCTCTATCAAAAGGGCACTTTCTGAACACACTATGGTTGCTTAGCCATTCTTCAGGCTTATATCACAGCAAATTGTGGCAGTGTGCACATTTCTGGTTATGATCTTCAGCAGTAATTTTTTTTCCAGTAACCACTGGCTTAAAAAGAAATTAACTATGAGGGCTGGATTCTGGGACAGACAGAGGACACAAGAAAACCCCAGCACCAAAAAAAAAAAATTAAAAAAAAAAAAAAATCAATGGAATAAACGGCAACTATTACTGCTAATTTTTAGGAAATACGCACTATGAGCAGTGTAAATTGTTTATTCATGATTTCATGATGCGAGGAAGTGATTATGACTCTCTAACTGGTACTTGTGGGTGATTCTTGTACGTTTAAGAGTACATCAAATATACATAAATGCCAGGGAGTTGGACTCGACAATCCTTATGGGTCCCTTCCAACTTGAGATATTTTATATTCTATGATTCTATTACCCCATTTAAACAAAGCCGTCAGGTTTGTCAAGCAGTTAAGTCAGTTTGTCCTGCCACAAAAACAGACACAACAGAATTTTTGGTAAAAAACCGCAGTCTCCAACCTGGGGCAAAGTCCACTGTTGCATAAAGACCCTGAAGAGCTCCACACCTCAAGTGAAACTGGCTTGCACCATCAGTTGTGAACAGCACCACCTCATCCCCAAGATGCTGGCGAAAGAGCTTCAGAAGGGAACGCAGATAGTCATAGTCACAAGCGAAGTAGCTTCCATACTCATTCTCGACCTGCACAGTAAAAGCAAGTCAGTAAAGCAGTAGCCAGTTTCAGTCTGCATGTGATACCAAAAAATCCAACCATCCTCTTCCTTTGATGGCAATGCTGAAAATGTGATTTTAACTCCAGACCTGAGGAGTAAGAGAAGACAACACATCTAGGCACTCATTCCTCTCACCTGTATCTTACAGTGGAGCAATCATTGTGTAGAGAGAAGTAATTTTCCTACAAAACCACCCTCCACATACAAATGTCTACCCCAGCTACTTTGCAACAGTGATCAAAACACAGTCTATTTAAAATGGAGAACTATGACCCACTTCCCAAGCAGAACAATAAAACCATAGAACAGGTTGTGACATGGTCAAAACTGCAGCAAAATTGGACCTCCAGAACAAAAACACTTACAAAGGGCTCACATGAACAGCAAAGCCCTGCAATAGACTCAATGGACTGAGGGGAGAAGGACAACCCTGCTACTACTGAGAAGTACACATCTTGCCCTTTTCCCAAGGGGATGGACTTTCAGGCTCCAGATGCAATGCCACACACACCTGAAAGTTATTTCTGAAAATCCTATTATAAGCATCTTATTTCTGCCAAGGAAAAATTTTGCCTAGTGCTTTTGCTCAATAGACATAATACATTGTTCAAGAACGATGACCTTGGGCATATTATAAGAAGGGTCTCCTATCCCATCCTGTGCCAACCAGGGAGTTTAAAAACAAAAAAATTAAAACAAAACTTTTGTTATGGTCAAATACTAAGAATATGGAACAATCACCACTGCACATCTAGAAGTTTAATAGAGAAGCTACTCACCATGAACACACAACATTGCGTCCTGAAACATCTACAGCTTAAGTCAGGTGCTAAGAACTAAAAAGCCTAAATTTTGAGGCCGTTTTTGTCACAAGTTTTAGGCTTACTCCATACTGCTTTTGCTTCTATCTGCAGGTATCCTTATTCCCCTTTTTCCTGTCAGAGGGTTTCAGGTAATGTATTGTGGCTGTATGTGAGAACTGGCATGAAACTCAGATCTAAAAAGCTCCACAAGCTTCCTCTATTGCTTTCTACAGTTGCGGGAAACAACTTTAATAGAGCAGACGAGTGCTCTCTGAATTCTGGAAACAGTGCATTTGGTTCTTTTGGATAAGGGATTTCATCAGAATCTTTCAGCTACCTGAAACTGTTAAGGAGTATCTGTGACATTACCACCCAACACCCATGGAGTGTCTGCAAGAGCAATATAAGCATCCATGCTGCTTGGGTTCATTTGATTTTCAGGAAGTTACCTGCACCATGATGATTGGACCTCCATTTTGATAGAGGTGAGGCCTCATCTTTGGCAAAAGGACACCCATCCATTTCTCTACTGCTGCCAGATAATCTGTGATACACAAAGTATAAATGTTTCACAACTTCTCTGTTTTTTTCTAGTTTTTGTTTTAAATTATATATGGGTAGTTTTTACCTAGTGTTCTAAATATGTGAAGTATAACAGAACAGCATTTAATGGACTGATGTGCTCTTATACTTGTTCACAAATGTCAGCTGCCAATACAGTTTACTAAAAAATAAAACATTTAAATACTGAAGAACTTTGAAAATCACCAGAGAGACTTCAATATGTCTCACACAGGTTGTCCTAATACATTTCAACAGGAAAACAAATTTGAATGTTGCTATGTGTACTACTGTTTTTAAATAGATAATTTATCCCACAATGAGCAGAAGTCAGATATGATATATATCTTCATCCCCTAATACGCACTCCAATAACCACCTTTACCTGCTGTCTCATCTCATCCCTCCATGTCTGGTCCATGACCAGGTAGCACATAAGAATGCTGTAACTAGTTCTGGAACTAATGCACACTGACCAGCCAGGAACGACCCCCACAATGAGTGGCCAGTTGGCTGTTGCAAAACTGAAAAATTCAAAGTTGAGAGCTACCCTTCTTTTCCTCAATGGTGACAATGATTTGTCTCTTGGCACCAATTTTCATGAAACCTGTTAATACCTTGGAAACTTTCCACCCTACTTTGTTCGTTCTACATACTTCTTGAATGCACACTTCTAATTAAAAGTACTGAATATTTTACTCACAAGATAATTCATATTTCAGCTTAAGTTATCTAGTAATGGCTTCAAACAGCAAGTTGCCTTGCTGCTAAAGTGTATTTTTGCTAGTCCTTTTTGACGCCTTTACCTGAATCAGAAGACCTGAGAACAATAGATTTCTTCTCCAACAGCCATGCAGGAAGACCTCCCTGGGAAAGGAAAGGGAATCACTTCAGTGACTATTTTTAGAAAGTGTAAGAATAATTTAGCCTTTTATCAAAACACATATTGAGACCTGAAGGTTGATCTTCTACAAGTAAGAAATAATTCCCAATGAAAAAACAAATACAAAGTAAGCTTGCGTTGTAAGAAGTTACGTAGGATGCATGGGCTTTAATACACTAAACCAAGAGGCTTGTCCAAGGATACAAGTATGTTTGTCTACTTTAAGATTGAAATACTTGCATTAGATTTACCCTAGAAATGAGATAACTGTTACAAAAGGCTGTACCATGTCCCATTCTGCACAGATGTAAGGTCCAGCTCTCAGGATAACCAGCAAACCAGTGTCATTAGCAAGCTGCAGGAAATACTCTAGATCTTTGTCACCCGAAAAGTCATACACGCCCAGCTGGGGTTCGTGGTAGTTCCATGGCACATACCTATGAAGACAGAAGATCACCTTCCATTAGGAAACTGAAACTAAACCAGAACTCCAAATAATAACTGTTTGCACTACACGCCCCAGAGATCTGTAATGCTGAACTGGTCTTCAGATCAGTAAAATACAAGAATAACTCTAAGGCCTTTCTTCTGTGAGGTACTTCATATGGCAGAATATGTTAGAATCAATACTGAAAAAAGGCTTAGTACTTTGCAGTATGTCTGCAGGAGTCCATATCAATGCAAGAACAGATTTTGGTAGTGCCATTTTAAAACCATGATGTCTGTTCCAAAATTTAAGTAGTCAACAGTTTTGATGTCAGCAAGTCAGCTGCCAGTTGTATAGTGGTGGGAGGTTTGTGAAGAGATGAATACTGTAAACCACTTACAAAGGAGGTGGTCAGGAACAAGTTCGCCCAAAACAGCGCATGACCCCTTGCGAATGGATCACCCAGCTTGCACAGGAAACACCAACTAGGCTGACAGGTCCATGCTGCTGCCACTACAAAGAACTTAAAAATGTCTAAGCCTCAAATGATATTGCATCTAGGTCCCGAAAGTTTTCACTGAGTAGGAGCAACGCAGGTTCTGGAAAACCAGCATGGGAAGAACGGTCAAGTTAGAGGATGCTAAGGTGCCCAGGAGCCTGGACAAAGTAAAACTTCATTTCAACCAAGTAATAAAGCTGCGAAACAAGCAGATAACCATTTGAGAGAACACCTGTCTGCTACTTCCAGGACTTAAGAAACTACAACCTCACCACAGAACATCTCACAGAAGATAAAAAAATACACTTGGTTGCAAGACAACAAAGAAACATGTTATCTACCAACTATTATGCGTAGCGTTGTAGCTTACGGCCCATGCCTGACAACCATGAGAGTTTTGCCTTAGGATAGTACTAAGTGGCAGTCGTAGCATAGACAGACATTAAAATTAGGGATGAGTACAGCCTGAGCACGGATTCAAGAGAATGGGAAAACTCCCATTCTCCACGCATTTACTTTTTTGCACATAGGTTTGTAATCCCTCTAAGAGAACTGTTGCCACTGTTCCATAGAGAACTAATTTGAGAAACCAAAACCGAGGTTAGTCAAGCAAAGATCCTCTCAGACAACACTTTTCTTACTGTCTGGGTTTGTTTATATGTTCCAGAGTTAATTTTGTATTTTTAAAGAGAGTGCAGAAAACACTGTTTCAATAAGCAAGAAAAACAGGAACCCTCCCATGAGCACAGTACTGAAATGGCCACACTCATACATACATGCACACGAACATCAAATACAAAACCTATAATCTTTCAACAACATTAGTTAATATTATAGCCTCACACATGCCAAAATCTTAAGCCTCTCTTTGAAAGGATAAAGCTTAAAATTTGTATGCCGGGATGGAGTCAAAGCAACACACTCAGGCATCAAAATGCAGATTTTCCCCTCTATGTAGTATATTATATTTCTTTGTCAACCTTCTCTAATTGTTTCTGAAGCACACGATTAACTCACTTGTAGAACAAACTAAATGTGCATTTAATTCATCTATGAACCATGTGAAAATACATTCAACATTACTTTAGTTTTGTGCACTTTGTCTAAATTTCAAGCAGAGGAGCAAGCTGATTGCTGACATTTGTAGATAAAGTAGTGCTTGCTTTCCCTGTTCCATATACCATTATCCAGGTTCTCACTGCAGAATAATTTTAGTTGCTCTAAGCCGTAACCGCTATGTTATTTTTAAAACTATTGCTTAGAAATACAGAATTCTTTTAAGTT